AGAAAGCCGAACTGGTTACTTGAAATTACTCTCGGTAAGACCACCTTGATTCTGTTCGCCAACACCTTCGCCAGCAGTTTGTAGAAGAAACTCAATAGTGTAATCGGCCGGTAGTTACCCAAATCGCCCCTGTCTCCTTTTTTATGCAGGAGGATCGTAACCGCCGTCGTGAAGGTCTCCGAAAGCACACCCGCTGATTCAAAACCCTTGACTTCTCTCATCACCGCAGGGCCCAGCAGCTCCCAGTTCCGCTCGAAGAATTCTTTCGGCAGGCCATCCTGCCCTGGGGCCTTCCCCGCCGGTAAGCCTTTGAGCGCCGCCTTCACCTCCTGCTCTGACCATTCCTTGTCTAGCTGCAAGCGTTCCTTCTCCTGCAGCATCCTTCCCTCTTCAATCGGCCACGGCTCCGCGGGAGGGGACGACGACGACAGCGCGTAGGCCTCACGGAAGTGCTCCGAAGCTGCTTGCAGCACCTCACTTGCTCCCTTCCTCAACACCCCTTTGAAAGTGAGTTCCGCTATCTCCGTTTTTGCCTTTCTTGACTTGACCAAGCCTGACAGGAAGCCTGATGGAGTCTCCCCCGCCAGCTCTTGCAGTAACCCCGACAGAATTTGCAGCCGCTCCTTGTTGCTGTCCTGGTAAAGCTTGAGAGCCGCTTCACTTTTTACCAGCTCCTCGTACAGAGCCTGCGACGAAGTGTCTGCCATCACCTTCCATCTGAGCTCTTCCACTTTCATCTCCAAGTGTACCATGGTCGCCTTAACCCTTTTCCTTTCCTCTGCCACATGAGCCCTCATGCCTGCCCGCAGATTTGCCACCACTCTCTCCAAGCCTTGTACCGGCTGATTCGCCTGTGAATCCAGTACCGCCGATATGATATTCCTGACACCTTCACCCCCAGCCTGAGGTGCCTGAAGCCTCCACAGCCCTGGTCCATGATCATCTGCTGATGCTGCCTTGAGTGATATCATCACCGCAAACCAGTGATCCGTTAAACCGTATGGAACCATTCTATGCTTCGCCTCTGTTACGCAGTTGAGGAGAGAATGTGAAACTAAAGCCCTGTCAATCCTTGTGCTTGTTTTTGCAGATCTTGAGAAGAAGGTGTATTCCTTCCTGGTTGGGTGAAGGCTCCGGAAAGCGTCTTGCAGATCCCATCTCGAGAAAATCTGCAGGAGTCTCTGATTTTCCGCCGGTGTACCCAACTTTGAGGATTTATCAAGTTCCGGATCCGCGACGATGTTCAGATCGCCGAGGAGTATGGTGTACTGAGAGGCGCTTAAGTTCTGCACAAAGGGGGTTAGTACATCACGAAAGAAAGCCCCCCTAGCTGGTGCTTGCGCGGGTAAGTATGCTGCTACCACTCTGCAGGTCAGATCCCGCCATGTGATCATCAGGCTTATGAGCCGGCCGGACTCGTGCTTAACCACGTCTGTGAACCGCATGCCTGGCAGGAAGCCCAAGACCGCCACCCCCCCGGCTCTCTGTGACGGTCCAACCACTGCCTGAGCTTCAGATCTAACTTGCGTCCAGAAGTTATGGTCCTGTGAAACACGTGTGTTAGTGAGTACCACTATGTGTGCTGCTTTTCTGATCCACTTTCCGCAACGCTCCTGTTTCCCGCTGCTACCGAGCCCGTTGATGTTGAGCTCGAGAAAAGTTAGGCTGTTGCGTTTATCCATTAGCCAACTTCCTTGAGCCCCACAGCATCCACGGGCGATTGTACTTTATTGCGACGATGCATCCTGCTACAGCGAAGGAGAACATGGCACCTACTACACAGCTTGCACCGAAAAACCACATCGACATCTCATCCGCTAAGCCGCTGGTCACTTCTTTGCCGGTGTGGCCATGAACTCCTTTTTGAAAACAGCCATCTTCTGAGAATGCTTGCTGGCACGTGTTGCAGCACCTTCTTTCTTCAGCCCTCCCTTGTGCCTGGCAGAAGCGACATGAGCCGCCGCCTGCTCGAAGCGATTCCCCTGAGCCTTCTCGCACACAGTCTGTACGCACACCCACTCCTCCCGCACACCTCCTGTAGAGGTGAGTATAACTGCGGGGTCTTTCAGGATGCGTGTCAGAGACGCTGAGGCTGTCAGGGAGGCCGCTGCGGGAGGAGGTGAGAAGACAGTCATCAGTATGGTTCGAGAAACACGATGCGAGCGGAGTGGAAAAAGAGGGTAGCGAATACGAAGGTAGAGGGTGGGGAGTCTTTCTGCTTATACCGTTCATGTCATGGACCTTTTTGACCGTCAGGTTCCAGTTGGTGAAGTTCTCCTACCTTGAGGTGACATAGTGGTCGTGGTAGCGGGATAGGTGCTGACCACTGCAGAGCTCGCAGGTAAGCGACGGGTAGTGGAGCAAGTAGCGCCTGTTCGTCGACGGGTCTTCCACGAAGTACCTCCACCGGTACTCATCACCAGCGTGAGGGCCAACCAGGCCCCGGATACGATCGGTGTCCAACCCAGAGACCGGATCGACGGTACGGTGAAAGCCAAAACCACTGGCGAACGCACTCCGGCCACGCTTAACCAGCTTCGACACCACCAGCAGGTGACGGATTAGCTCAGCAGTAATATCCGCGGGAACTCATTTGATAACAACTTCTTTCGCCATTGGGTTCAGCAGACGCTCCCGAAGGAAGCGAGCGTCTTCAGGGTGCTGCCAGGTAAAGTCAACGATGTCACCGTTCGCACACTCATGCCTGACGACCTGGCTCCATACAAAGTTCGCATCTCGGACATGATTGAAGGTAACTTGAAGGCGACCATAACGCGTGCCGGAAAAATAGGTCGCGGTGAGCTCCTGATAGGTCGTTGTCTGTAGTACATCAGGCAACAGCTGATCCTTCCAGTCGTCCAGCAAGGCAGCCACAGTTACAGCAGTCCGCTTAACTTCAGGCTTCCAGCTAAACGGCACCAGCAAGGTTAGTGAGAATCTTTTCAAAGCAATGATACTGCCAAGAGAAGCTGGTTCCAGGTGTTCGTCAGAGTCGTCGCTCAGGTACCCCTCTCCGTCACCATCAGGAGCCTGATCCGACGAGGCATCTTCGTCCTCCTGTCCATCAACATCCGCATCAACCTCTTCCTCAGCAGCTTCTTTTTCTTTTCCATTAGCGTCGGTATCAGCAGCACCATCAGCATCATCTCCGTCTTGTCCGCCGGTGCGATCAACCTTGGTCTGTAAGTCCAGCAGGTCTTCGAAGGGACCAAGCACCACAGGCGACGTGGAGGAGGATGGCTCACGCCCATTATCGGCAACATCCTTCACAGGTACGGCAGGTACGTTAGGCACATCAGTCTCCAGGTCATTGTCGGCTGCCTTCTTGCCGGTCTTGTTGTTGCGACCTCTCCCCATGGTGCGGTGATGAGAAAAGCTTGGCAGCCCGTTTAAGGCTGAGAAACAAGCCGGACTGAGCACTTTTACTAAAAACTCTGCATGTTTATACTTCTTATGCATGAAGCTGAAGCGTTGCAGGTCCAGGCCCGGGAGGGGAGCCATAACCTTAGGGATCGCCAGGCTGCCTGGTTGGTTAGGGGCCTCGAGTATCGGTGAACCATTGAAAATGTCAGCATTGAAAGTAACGCGGTGTGATGACAAAGCCTTGCGCAAAGCGCGATGATCTCCATTGAGAAACAAGGAACCTTGATTGTAGCCATGTGTAATAAAAAACCTTGATGTTGCATGAAACACTGTCCATGGCCTGGAACTCGTAAAAATTGTGGTTAGGTTCCCGTAATGAACACTAAAAGGACACCACTGGGTAGAGCTTAAAGCCGCGCATCGATAGAGTGTCTCAATGTCAGTATCAGGCAAGAAATTGATACACATTGACGTAGTTAAAGCTCTCCGCCATGGCCATGGCTGCATTGTCATTGTCATTGTCATTCGCGAGTTTATTTGCAACAAGCTCGTGACCAACCAACGGACCAGGTCCGTCCTCCGCATGCCCGTGAGAGGGGAACCACTCATTCGTCATACCCTGAGCCTACGTTATTAGACGCTTAGTATGCTTCGGAGTGGGCGTGTGAGTGCAAGGTTGGGTGACGGGGGAATTTCCCGTGCGAGGAACTCCTCAGGGGTGCAATTTTTCGCCAATCCTCTCGCCAACCCCCGTTGTGTCGTTCTGGCGAAATTTACCCAGGCTACAGTACAACCCTAAACAGTACTTGCAAATGTATACAAAAGCTTTAATGTGCATGGATATCTGAATGGCTTTTCACTTCAACATTATTCATTGTGTTTTACCTTTCATTGTAGACCTGTCTCATGGGTTTTCTGTTCCACCCAAACAGTTCAAGCGTTCGAATCCATGTGGTAGTAATAGCGAAGCATGAACTACCGGATTTTTTATTGGCTGCTGCTGGTGCCACGACATCTCGAAGTTTTCCACGAGGACCTGACACCAGTGTGGGGAACCTTTGACGTGGCGCGCTCGTCCATGCAAAACTTGAATTCCCTGGCCCAAAACCCATTCCTTGCAGTTGCAGCCTCTGCCATTTCTCCAAAAGCACGTCACGAGCAAGCTCTCAGCTAGCTAAACCAACCGATTTGCAGCAAGAATCAACTTTCTCAACCTCACTCCGTGTAGCCTAACGGCACACCCTAGAAGTCGTCGCTCGTTCATCCCCTCCATTCGCCACGCCACCATTTCCCTCCTGCCGCCGCCGCCTAGCTTCCCACACCATCCCCTCCACCACCCCGCCGCCACCCCGCCGCCACCGCACACGCTGCAGTAGAAGCCGCCTCATAGTGCGCCGTTAGCCCAGCCTTTCAACTAGGCTTCGGGTTATTCCCCCAGTCTCGCAGAGCGCGCTTCGGTGACTCGCCTTTGAGCGTTGTAGAGAACGTTGTTTCCGCACACTGTTCTTTTACTATCGCTGACGTGGGCGCCGCGCCTTATTTCAGCTTACATCGCAGCGGATATTGTTTTTCCCGGCGCTGCATCTCGCGAACGCCCTTAGCGTTGCATCTCGCGAGAACGGACCCGACTCGGAGGGATGGCTGCGATTATAACGGAGCACACGGTAGCGGATCTCGTGCGGAGCAAGCTTGGCCTCGTCGAATTCCTTGAGTCCGCGACTGTCGCCGGTAAGGCGGAACGTTAAATAGGAACGTTGAAGACCTTCTGACGCTTGTACGCGTCAAGCCTTAAAAACAAATACTCACTGACGTGTCAGCCCTCCTCACAACTTTTCTCTGTTCCCCCTCCCCCCCCCCCCCCCCCCCCCACACCCTTCTCCGTCGGTGTTTGTGACGGTTGTTCTTTTATCGAAACGTGGGTGTACAGAGGCGATCGAGGCTCTGGTGCGAGAGGACCTGGTAGCAGCTCCCGTGTACTCCACCGCACCCCATGCTGCTGCGGTAAATGTTCCCCTCTCCTTCTCCCCGCGTAAACAGCAACCCGGTAGCAGCCCCCGTGTGCTCTTCCTTCCCCCACCTCCTCCCTGCTCCCCCCCACTGCTGTGGTATTCTTACAACTCTCCTTTTCCTCGCGTAGAGGAGTGCCTGGTAGCAGCTCCCGCTTACTCGCCCCCCCTTCTCCCCCAATCGCTCCCCTCCTTCTCCCCGCTTAAACGACAACCTGGTAGCAGCTCTCGTTTACTGCACCGCACCCCATGCTGCTGCGGTATGGTCACCCCGTCTCCTTCTCCCCGCTTAAACGACAACGTGGTAGCAGCACCCATGCACTCTTTCCCCCGCCTTTCCGCCCCACCTGCTCTCCCTTCCTGCTGCGGTATGCATCCCCCTCTCTTTATTCCTCCTCCCCCGCTGCCTCCCCTCCCCATCCCCCTTTTCCTCCTCCCCCGCTGCCTCCCCTCCCCATCCCCCTTTTCCTCCTCCCCCGCTGCCTCCCCTCCCCATCCCCCTTTTCCTCCTCCCCCGCTGCCTCCCCTCCCCATCCCCCTTTTCCTCCTCCCCCGCTGCCTCCCCTCCCCATCCCCCTTTTCCTCCTCCCCCGCTGCCTCCCCTCCCCATCCCCCTTTTCCTCCTCCCCCGCTGCCTCCCCTCCCCATCCCCCTTTTCCTCCTTCCCCACTGCCTCCCCTCCCCATCCCCCTTTTCCTCCTCCCCCGCTGCCTCCCCTCCCCATCCCCCTTTTCCTCCTCCCCCGCTGCCTCCCCTCCCCATCCCCCTTTTCCTCCTCCCCCGCTGCCTCCCCTCCCCATCCCCCTTTTCCTCCTCCCCCGCTGCCTCCCCTCCCCATCCCCCTTTTCCTCCTCCCCCGCTGCCTCCCCTCCCCATCCCCCTTTTCCTCCTCCCCCGCTGCCTCCCCTCCCCATCCACCGTTTCCTCCTCCCCTAATGCAGCGACATACTTCCCCCGCCCGCTCCCACGCTTGCGGCTTCCATGCAGCCCAAGCCTTGGCTGCTTCCCTCGTTTGGAGGTGACTTTTGAGTCGACTCAAAAGTCACCTTGACATACTTCCCCGCTCCCAAGATTAGGTTTCTCATTTCTTCCTTCCCGGTCACATACATTTATTCCTTCCCCGCTCCTTGTTCCCGTCCCATCAAGCACGCGGCTCCCTGGCTCGTCCATCCTCTCCCTGCCAGATGACTCTGCGCCCCTCCCTCCTCTCCTCTCGTCTCTCCTTCCCGTTTCCCCCTGTCCTTCCCCTCTCCCCTGTTCCCATCCCATCAGGCGCTCGGCTCCCTTGCTCGCTCCATTCTCTCTCCACCTGACAACTTTCCTCCCCTCTCCCTCCTCCCCTCCTGCTTTCCCCTCTTTCCCTCTCATTACTACCTGCGCGTTTCCCCTGTTTCCGTTCCATCAGGCGCTCGGCTCCCTTGCTCGCACCATTCTGTCCCTGCCAGATGACTCTGACGCGCTGTCGCTTACTGCAGCAGCTAATAAGGCGTACACTGGGACTGTCACCATGGTAGACCTGCTGCTGCACGTGGCGGGGGGGGAGGAGGAGGAGGGGGAGGGGGAGTGGGAGTGGGAGGGGGAGGAGGAGCAGGAGGGGGACAAGGAGACGGGGAGGGAGAGGGGGAGGCGGGGGGGTGGCATGTGTGAGTTGGAGACGCCAGTGGGGCAGCTGGTGAGGGCGAGTGAGGAAGGGCTGTCTCTGCTGCTCACTGACTTGAACGCACCGTAAGCTGCCTTAAGTGCCCTGTAAACCACCACCTGGTGCGTCGTAGGCTGCCGTTCCTCTTAGTCGTGTGCTTCTTAGGTCGCATGCTAGTTGAGCAGCTGGTGCGGGCGAGTGAGGAAGGGTTATCGCTGCTGCTCACTGACTTGAACCCACCGTAAGCTGCTCTTCCTCTTATGTGTGTGCTTCCAAGGTCGCACTCTAGTGGGGTTTCTCCAAATCCACTAGTGGGGCGCTTCGAGTTTGTCAAAATTTCCTTTTACTGTCTCTCCTTCCCTTCCCGAATCCTCCCCTCCACCTACCAGTATCAACACCATCATGCGTCCCATGGCGCAGGGAGTGCAGCGCCTGATCGTCCCCATCCACACCCGCCCCTCCTCTTCCATCCCCTCTGCCTCCTCTCCGCAAGGCGATGAACCACCACTGGCAGCATCACTCCCGTCTCACTCGCTTTCCTCTCACTCTCCATCAGCAAACATCCCGTTTGCCTCTCCACACTCTCCATCCTTCCGACCGCCACACTCCTCCCATGTCTCTCCCTCCCCCTCCTCTCCCCCCTCCTCCTCCCTGTCCCACACCTCTGCCCCTCCCTCTCAGTCATCTCTCTCCTCTCTCCATTCTCTCACTTCAAACTCTTCCTCCCTCTTCTCTCACCCCTCCTTCACCTCCCACTCCCTCACTCCCTCCACCACCACCACCACACTCGCCACCTCCCCTCACTCTCTCTCCTCCACCCCCTCTCAGCACTCTCACAAACCCCTCGCTTCTACCATCGCCTCTCTCTCGTTAGAGCACCTGCAAGGGGTTCCGGATGCGATTCCTTACAAGCAGCCTCAATATACGCAACAAGCAGGGAGCACTGTACAGCGTTCGGAGTGCAACACACACTACTCGTGCGCGTTTCCAAGTGATGATGAAGAGGAGACAGAGGAAGGGGAGAAGGGAGGCGAGGAGGAGGGGGAGACGGACGGTGGAAGAGAGGGGGAAAGGGAGGGGCAAGGAAGAACAACCAGTAACACACACTCTGCCCTCACCCCTGCCACTTTTACTACCACCCCAGCAGATTCCAACATCCCTACTGCCACTCCTTCTACCATTCCTCCTACCACTCCTACCATCCTTCCCCCCACTCCCACTAGCACCACCTCCCCCTGCTTCCGCTGCCCAGGGGGCAGCTGCACGCCCTCCCGAAAGTTTTTCTGCCCGCATTTCTGCGTGCTGACTCAGACTGACGTGGCCAGGTGGCTGCTCGACAGGGCGCCTCAGCTGGAGCCTGTACCCTCTGAAAGCCTCCTCGATTTAGGGCTCATTCACCCCCGGATTGTGACTGTCAAGTGCTCTGACAATGCGTATGAGGCTCTGCAGCTGCTCCAGTCGTCCGCTGGTGAGTTTATGTGGGTGGTGGGAAGGAACGGTGGGTTGTGGGTACCTGTATAAGTCACAGTGTCCAATCACTAGCTCTCGCAGTCCTCTCTCTTGCAAGTGCTCTGACAATGCGTATGAGGCTCTGCGGCTTCTGCAGTCGTCTGCTGGTGAGCAGTCAGTGTGTTGGGAAGGATGAGTTGGGATCACTTGCGCAAGTTACTGTCAACTCATTAGTTATGGTGGGCCTTTCTCTTTCTCAATCGTTCTGAGAGGGCATGTGAGGCTTTGCAGCTGCTGGTGGGTTCATGTGGTGGGAAGGGTGGGGTGTGAGGAGAGGACCTTGTATAAGTCACTGTGCCTATCCAGTCACGAGCAATGATAGTCCCTTGCAACTGTTCCGACAACGCGTATGAGGCTCTGCAGCTCTTGCAGTCGTCTGCTGGTGAGTCAGTCAGTGTGTGGCTATTTGAGTCTGATCTGTGTGTGTCTCAGATTACAGGCATGCACGCCTTTCTGTGTATGTATACGTGCTTTTCGATATTCTTGTCTCACTCCACCCCGTTTGTGTTCACTCTCTGCTTCTCCCGTCATCCCCCTTTTGTTTCCACGTCATCCACCCTCGCTTCACCTGCCTTACCCCTCCCCTTCCTTACCCCTATTTCCCTGCTTTGTCCCACTGCCCTCACGTCCCCAGGGGATGTCAATGCATTGGCAGTGGTCGACCCTTTCCCTGAACCCAGCCCTTCTCTCCCCTCCTCTCCCCATCACACTGCCCTCACGTCCCCAGGGGATGTCAATGCATTGGCAGTGGTCGACCCTTTCCCTGAACCCACCAGCCCTTCTTCCTCAAAGTCAACCAAGTCAACTCAAGTCTCATCTGCTGCCGACCCTAATCCCCGTGAAAAGCTGGTGGGGCAGCTGTCGAGTGTGGATCTCCGCGGCTGCACTGCGCAGTTCGCCGCCCGAAATTTGCGTGGCATGACGGTGCAAGATCTGCTGCTGGCAGTGCCGGCCACTGAGAGGTACTGGCGGAGCCGCGAGCGGGGCGAACAGCTGCGACTGGTGCAGCAGAAGCAGGAGCAACAGGAGCAGCAACAGCAACAGCAGGTGAAGGTTGAAACAGCATCCGAAAATGCTGCTGTTGCTCCTCCATCCACTAAGAGAGGCCAGCTGAGGCCGGTGAGCAAGTGCAAGCCGAGTAGCAATCTATGTGCGGCCATGGCGCAGGCCCTGGCTCACAGGAATCACCGCGTGTGGGTGGTGGATGACCATGGGTGCCCGACTGGTGTGGTTACATTCAGCGATATGATTTCGGCGTTTTTGGTGGATCCGAGAGTGCATGCGATGGGTGCCTGAACAAGGAGAGGCTGTTTGGGGCCGGTGAGCAAGTGCAAGCCAAGCAGCAATCTTCGCGCCGCCATGGCACTGGCACTAGAGTGTGGCGCACAGGAACCACTGTGTGGGCGGTGGATAACCATGGGTGCCCGATGGGTGTTGTTACATTTAGCGATATGATTTCGGCGTTCTTGGCGGATTCCAGAGAGCATGCGATGCGTTTTTTACTTTCTGTGTTTCCTGTCTTGTGCATAGTATTGATTGACATTTTCATTACAGAGACTTGTACAGCCTGTAAGCTACACCTGGAGTAACAGCGAAGCTACCAATAAGCTGAGATTCACAATTCGGTTTCTGTCCTGAATCCCTGGAATTTGGAGGAACCCCACACGCTTGAGGCTTCAAGTACAGGGAATCACATTGCCCAATAGGAGCTGGCTGACCACGTCAGCACGGCCCATCCAGCCGAGCCAAAACTCCTAGTCAGCGTTTTTGGGCGCGGCGACCTCAATCTGTTGAGTTTTATCAGCAGTACGCCTAGCTGGCCGATCAGGGAAATCCCAATTCAAGTTTCCTCCCAGATTTCTCTGATTTCTAGCTGGAATCCGAGAAAACAATTTTCAAGCGAAACTCGTTCTAGCAGAGGGCTAATTTTTCCAAGGAGGCTTGTTCCTTTGCACCAGTGGAGGCGCTAGTCCTGCTTCGAGTATTATCGCTCCGTCGCGTGTGACGGGAATTGCAAGTCTGCATAGGGCTTGCAGTATTGCTGGAAACAGGAAGTTTCATTGAGTGTACTCGAACTGGAAACATGGCGGCCACAACCACCTCTCAGCTGTACGTTTCTGTTCATTAAACACATGCGTTTGTTATTTATGTCACAAGAGCTCGTTGATGCTTGTTCGACGGACTGGGCAGGAGGTTAGATTGCCTGGCCGGAATGTAGCAAACGCAGATTGGAGACCAAAAGGCAACAATGCAACGTTCGGTTTCGAAACTTTCCGAATCCGGATCCAGCATCCACGTTTGGCAGTCTCGTATCGACATATTCATCTCAAATTTGCAATTTAGTCTGTCGCTTCCTCAGTATCTAGAGACCAGCTCACCCAGTAATGTTGGCTACCCTTGGAGCCTGCCTGACCCGGCTTGTGCAAATCTATAAAAAGCATCTACTGAAGTGCTGGAAGTTGTTTTGCCTTTGAAACGCCTTTAAGCTTTCTGAGTTGTGGTATTTCGCTTCTGTCCTCGCCTTTGTCCCACCAGCGTGCAGAGCCACGTCAGCACCATCGCGCAATCATCCCGATCACCAACGACGGCGGCCAGCGCAAAATCCGCCGTGTCCTTCTCAGGCTCCGAGCTTCACGGCGTTGCCTGCCGAACCCGCACGACCAAATCCGTCTCCTGCAATGCCTCGCAGAGGCAGGCCGTGCAGCCCAGGGCGTCAGGTAAGCGACGCTGACGGATGTGCTTTCAAGTACTTCTTCCCTGAAGTCATCCCCGACAATGCCTCTTGCAATCCAATCCCTCGCAGGTGTTGCTGCGCCTTGCTTTTTTCCACAGTGTAAAGAAAAAAAATATTCAATGCGTCTAGGGCATGAGGTACAAGAAACTTATCAATTCCAACATTCAACTAGCGCGGGCTGCGCGTCGAGAAACCATTCCGCGGCACCCGCGTACCAGGGCCTTTCCTTATGGCATCACAACTTATCCCCTCCCTCCCGTTCCCCCTTCCAGCGGACGAGCCCCTGCTGGTGCGCGCAGCGCGCGGGGAGGCCATTCCGCGCCCGCCCGCCTGGATGATGCGCCAAGCGGGGCGCTACATGGCCGCCTACCAGAAGCTCTCCAAGAACCACCCCTCTTTCCGGGAACGTTCCGAGACGACGGATTTGATCGTCGAAATCACCCTGCAGCCATGGCGCGCGTTCAAGCCCGACGGCGTGATTCTGTTCTCGGACATTCTGACGCCGTTGGATGCGATGGGAATTCCGTTCGAGATCGACGAGAACAAGGGCCCAATCATAGACAGCCCCATTAGGACGACGGAGGCGCTCAAGGCGTTGACGCCGGTTCAGCTGGACAAGCTGCACTTTGTTGACGAGTCGCTGAGGCAAATCCGGAAGGAGGTGCGTGGGAGGGAGGTTGGCGGGGAACTGTTGAGGGGGGAGGGGGGATTGGAGGGAGGGGAGTAACGTGCGAAATTGGGGATAGGGTTGGGTGTTGGTCAAGGCGTTGACGCCGGTTCAGCTGGACAAGCTGCACTTTGTTGACGAGTCGCTGCGGCAGATTCGGAAGGAGGTGCGTGTGATGGAGGGCTGTCGGGGAACGGGTGGGGTGAGGAGGGGGGAGTAAAGGGTCGGGAGGGAGGCTTAGAGTAGGAAGATGGGGGGGGAAGGGGGAGGGGGAGGGTGATAAGGTAGAATGAGGGGATTTGGTGGGGCAGAGTGGGGAGGGGGAGGGAAGAGCGGAAGGGTGGGGAGGGGGAGGGAAGAGCTGAAAGGTGGGGAAGGGGGGGGAAGAGCGGAAGGTTGGGGGAGAAGGTGCGAGGGTTTCAAGGCGTTGGCACCCGTGCGGCTGGACAACCTGTCCTTTGCTTATGCGTTGCTGCAGCAGATCCGGAAACAGATTCGTGGGTGTGAAATGGACACTGGAGGGTAGCGGGGAAGACTACATGAGATCAACGAGTCAGAGCGCACCACACGTGCCCCTGTCCCATCTCTTCCCCTTCCCACGCTCCCGTCTTCCCTTCTCTCACCTTCCCCACTCCCAACCTTCCTCGTGTCTGACATGCATTTGTCCCTTTTCCCTTCCCCCATTTCCCTTCTCTACTTACCCCCTCCACCCTCATGCTGCTCGCCGGCAGATTGAGGGCACGGCTGCCCTGCTGGGCTTTGTGGGGGCGCCGTGGACGCTGGCGACGTACTGTGTGGAGGGCGGCACCACGCGCACCTACACCAAGATCAAGGGCATGATCCACAGCGCGCCGGACGTGCTCCGGGCGCTGCTGCAGCACCTGGCCAATGAGATCGCGACATATGCCGCGTTCCAAGTGGACGCCGGCGCGCAGTGCATCCAGGTCTTTGACTCGTGGGGCGGGCAGCTGCCGCCCGACCAGTGGGACGAGTGGGCCAAGCCGTACATCATCCAGGTGAGGAAGAGCTCGGCTGGTGGTGTGCTATGTGGGGTGAACGCACCTGCCTTCAAAACGAGTCACTCAATCCATCAAACCATAGGTTTTTTTAAGTCATCACGTCACTTGGTAGGCAGCGGCAGTGGCGACGGTTGGCGCATGAAACACAGGCATGACAACTGGTGCATTCCTCCACTCCCACCATCCTCTCCTCCCTTCATTCCCCAGGTCATCTCCCAGCTGAAGGCAAAGCACCCGACAGTACCCGTCGTGCTCTATGCTAACGGCAGGGGGGGGCTCATGGAGCGCATGGCCACCACTGGGGCTCACCCATGAGAGCCCCTGTTGCATCCCTCCCGTATCATCGTCCCCATTCCCCAGGTTATCTCCCAGCTGAAGGCAAAGCACCCCACGGTGCCAGTCGTGCTCTATGCCAACGGCAGTGGCGGTCTCATGGAGCGCATGGCCACCACTGGTGCTGACGTCATTGGCGTTGACTGGACCATCGACATGGCCGATGCACGGGCGAGGATTGACGGTGCTCTGAAGGCGAGCCCTGGGGGGAGTGCGAAGCCGAGGCTGTCGGTGCAGGGCAACGTGGACCCTGCTGTGCTGTTCGCTTCCAAGGATGCCGTCACTGACGCCATCAATCGGTGAGTGGTCTTGGGTGTAGTGTGATTGTCATCGGTGTTGACTGGACCATTTAGATGACTGATGCACGGGCGAGGATTGACGGCGCTCTGAGGGCGAGCCCCGGGAGGAGTGAGAAGCCGAGGCTGTCGGTGCAGGGCAACGTGGACCCTGCCGTGCTGTTCGCCTCCAAGGATGCTGTCACTGACGCCATTCACCGGTGAGTAACTTGCTGTAACCAACTGTGGCATGTAGCAAAGGTATACTGTGAGTGATGTCGGTGCAGGGCAACGTGGACCCAGCTGTGCTGTTCGCGGTCACTGACGCCATTCACCGGTGAGTGATTCGTTGTAATCGCGAGCGGTATACTGTGAGTTCTGTCGGTGCATGGCAACCACTAGGGCGGGTGGATGTCATCGGTGTTGACTGGACCATTGACATGGCCGATGCACGGGCGAGGATCGATGGCGCTCTGAGGGCGAGTTCGGGGGGGAGTGCGAAGCTGAGGCTGTCGGTGCAGGGGAATGTGGACCCTGCCGTGCTGTTTGCCTCTAAGGATGCTGTCACTGATGCCATTCACCAGTGAGTGTGACTGCCAGGGCATCACGAGCTGCATATTGTGAGTGCTGTCAGTGCAAGGGAATGTGGATTATGCTGTGCTCCGCCTCCAAGGATGCCATCACAGGTGCAATCCTAACTTGCTGCAACAAGGTGTACTGTGAATGCTTCTGTTTCTGCCGTCTTCCTTTCCACCCCTACCCTCCATACCCTCGTTCTCATTCACTCTCTCCCCAGTGTGTGGGCAAGGCAGGTCCAGGGGGACACATTCTCAACCTGGGCCATGACGTGGTGGTGGGGACATGCTCTGTTCTTTTTTCTACCGGTAACGATCTGCCGTACTTCTTTCCACCCTTCATACCCCCCGTGCCCTCGTTCTCATTCACTCTCTCCCACAGCTGTGTTGCCAAGGCGGGTCCGCGCGGCCACATTCTCAACCTGGGCCACGGTGTGTTGGTGGGGACACCAGAGGAGAGTGTATTGCACTTCTTTGAAACGACTCGCGCTCTCAAATACGCTGAGGAGCCTGTTGTAGCAAAAGCTTAAGATTGAATGTTCATTAAATAGCTATGGAATTACCAGTACCACTCCTGGACATGCTTGTAGCAATTCTGTTTATCAGTTGAGCTCCGCTAGTATTGTGTACGTGCGCCCTTATGACCTTGCCCTGAAATTTTTAGAGAAATCCATGTAGGAGATCGTGCATTGAACAAAGGTGTGCATTCCAATCCAAGCCTTTAAATGAGCACCTGAGCAAAGAGCCAGCAATTGACAGGAAGCTAGAAATGCAGACAGAGGATTTTACCATAAGTTATTTCACAAAATTAATGATGTTTCTCAGAGTTGTATTTTCTTCTCGTGGGACGAATTTCTCTTAAAATCCTTGAGCTACAATCTTACTGAGGAAATTCACAGCGAGTAACTTACAACAACAGGGCCTTGTTCTGCAGGCGGACAATTTCCAGAATCTGGGTCTGCAGAATCTTTGTGGATAAGTAATTATTTGCTTATCTAGGTTTGGTGATAAGAGCGTTCCTGCCAAACCTATTTGCGCCAAATTTGACGCTTCAGCCTGCAGAACACCACTTTTGTGCCGCACAAATTTAACCGCCCGCTGGCTCGACGTTGTTGCTTCGCCAGGCAAACGGTCGCACAACTAGTGCGGTGCTGATTCAACCTCGAGGGCTTGCATCAGCCAGCGCACAAGTTATGCGGGGCAGCATCAACACGCAAATTTCGGAAATGCATATGGCTGTGCGGGGGGGCAAGTAACCAGGCGGTCTTTCCGAACCAAACGAGGCGCCTTGCTTTGTGGCGGCCCTAGATATTGCGGTGAACATGGTTGGTGATCATGACTGCTGGTGATGGTGATCAGCTCTTTTCGCCAAGGCTTCGCGAAGCATCCAGATCTACAGTCTTGACTCGCGGCACTTCCACTGTAAGGAATTTACCAATTCCTTACTGTAGCCTTGTCAAATGTAATTCTATGCTTGTAGGCTACAGTGAGTAGCACAATAGGGAGTACAGTTGTTAGGGTTGCATATTTGTACTTCCACACTTTCTAGTTTCATCATTCCGTTGCATTCCTATTCTGAGATGGTATCACGAGTAGGTTAGATCCTCGTTCGTTTTTAGCTAGCCTCCGCGCCCTACGCGCCCTCCGTGCTCTCGCGCCCTCCGCGCCCTCCGCGCCCTCCTCGCGCCTAGCCCGCGCCCTCCCGCACTGTCCAGCCTGTCGCGCGCCCTCCTTAGACCTCCGCGCGCCCTCCCCCACCGTTGCGCGCCCTCCAAAACCGTCGTGCGCCCTTCTTAGACCGCCGCGCGCCCTCCTCAACCGTCGCGCGCCCTCCTCAACCATCGCGCGCCCTCCTCAACCGTCGCGCGCCCTCCTTAGACCGTCGCGTGCCCTCCCCTCCGCCTGTCGCGCGCCCTCCTCCGTCAACGCTTCCCGCACACCAGCGTGCGCTTACCGCACACCTGCGTGCACTTACCGCACACCTGCGTGCGCTTACCGCACACCTGCGTGCACTTACCGCATCACTCTGTGTGCGCTTCCCGCACACCTGCGTGCGCTTCCCGCACACCTGCGTGCACTTACCACACACCTGCGTGCACTCACCGCACACCTGCGTGCGCTTACCGCACACCTGCGTACACTTACCGCATCACTCTGTGCGCTTACTGCATCTCTCTCCCCTTCACCTGTGCACCGGTCCCACGCCATTCCTACTGCACTTGGCTCCCGGCTCAGCGGCTGGCAGCCGCTCTTCCCTCCAGTAGCGCCACCTAGGTTCGGTTAGAGCCCCGCCCCACGACTATTTTCTCGCCGACTGTCTCTCGTCGTTTTCCCCGCTGGCGTCCCTAGCCCTCCGTAGTTTTCCTCCTCGTTCTTAGCTTCGCCTCCGCCGTGCTCCAGTCGCCTCTGTTTCGATGCTGAGGGACGCCCGATCGAGTTTGGTACCTGGCAGCGCCAGACCACACGTTTCCTCACCAGCCAGCGTCAGGACGGCGCCACTCTGTGGGCCCACGCGTCGGGTGCTCTCGCGGCACCCCCGTCCCCCGCCGCCCTGCCGACCGCCCCGGAGCCGACTCCTACGGCCCAGGCGGACTACGACCGTCGGGTCCTGGCTCGGGACGTGTGGCTCTCTCGTGACGCGGCCGCCGCCCTCACGCTATCGGAGCTTCTCCCCCCGACTGAGGCCGCTCACTTTGACCAGATGGAGACAGCCAAGGGGGTTTGGGATGCTATTGTGGCTCGCTATTCCACCCCCTCCTCCGCCTCCCTCAGTCGCCTCCTCATGCCGTTCGTGTTTCCCGACCTAGGCTCGTTTGCGACTGTTTCCGACCTAGTGACTCACCTCCGCTCGCTTGACGCCGGTTTTCGTTCGGCCTGTACCGACGCACAGCTCCTTGTTGCTCCCCCCCCCATGTGGCTCACTGTGCACTGGTTAGTCACCCGCCTCCCTGACCGCCTTGCCACTGCCCGCGACGCGCTTCTTCAGAAGCACCCCACTGAACTCACTATATACCTCCTTCAGACTGCTCTCGGGACCATCGAGAGCAGCCTCCTCACCGTTGCCTCCGCCACTGATGCGGTGGCCCCCCGTCTCTTTGCGGGGTGTGCCGCCCCTCAGCTTCCCACTTTCACCACTACCCGCGCTTCTGTTGCTGTGTCGGTCTCTGAGGACACCGCTGCCATTTCTGCCGCAGACTGGCAGAAACGGGGCAAGAGTGGCAAGAAGGGCGGGAAGGGGGGAGGTGGGGGCGGAGGAGGTGGCGGTGGAGGGGGCGGTGGAGGTGGGAGCGGCGGTGGTGGTGGAGGCGGCGGCGGCGGCGGCGGTGGTGCACCAGGGGGAGGGGGCCTTGGAGGAGGCGCAGGACAGACAGGTCCACCCACAGGTGGTGGCCCGACCGGTGGGGGTGCTGCCCCCCAGCAGCAGCAGCCACAGCAGCACCAGCCACAGCAGGGACAGCAGCAGCAGCAGGGACAGCAGCACCAGCAGGCGCCGCAGCAGTTCCAGCAGTGAGGGCCCCCGCTGCAGTGGGGTCCGCAGCAGCACTGGGGTCCCCCGCCGCAGTGGGGTCCGGGAGGCCCTGGGAGCACCGGCCGCAGCAGCAGCTCTTCCAGCTGGGCCCCTCGCCCCCCTCGTCGTGACGCTGGCCCGTGCACCCACTGGTGCCTCACCGGGCCAGGCAGCCCCTGTCTCTGTGGTCGCGGCGACCACTCTGCCGCGCGGTGCTTCCGCCGCCTCGACGACCTCTACCGGGCTCGTTGGGGACCTCTGGCGGTCACTCCTCGCTGGTCTCGTCTGTTAACCCGTAAGATTGATGTCTTTGATCTGTCCATGGACGATGCGCGTCAGCATGCTTTGTATGTTGATGCTGACTTTAGTGCTGAGGGATCTGTGTGCTCGCGTGTTCGTAGTTTAGCCTGCTTGCCTCCTGCTAGTGTAGCCTTGTGCCTGTCTAGCTTAGGTGCTTGTGTTGCTGCTCTAGGTGCTTGTGTAGCGACTGGGTCAGGTGACCCTCCGGCTGAGGCCTCTCTGTCGTTCACCCTGGACTCGGGCGCGTCTCAGTGCTTCTTCCGCGACCACACGACCCTTACGCCACTCCTCACTCCTGTGTCAGTGGCTCTGGCTGATCCTACCTCTGGACCAGCCGTTGCGCGTAGCTCCACCACCCTCCCGTGCCATGTGGTCCCCTCTGGTGTCCTACGCGGCCTCCACATCCCCTCGTTCACTCGGAACTTGGTGGGTGTTGGATACCTCCAGGACAGGGGGATCACGGTTACCTTCGTGGGGGGTGGGCGGACTGCAGTCTGTACAGACGCTACCACAGGTGCTGTTCTGGCCACGTTCACCAGGGAGCCCCGCTCCGGTCTCTACGTTCTCCACACCGAGCGCTCCCCGGTCGCGTCCTCCCCTCAGGTCGTTGCGTCCCCTCCGGCCCAGGTCCCCAGTCCAGTTGATGTGTCTAGCCAGGTAGTCGTGTCCGGTCCTGGCGCTGTGTCCAGTCCAGTCGCTGCGTCTTGCTCCTGTCGCTCTCTCACCCACCGCACCGTCCTGTGGCACCACCGCCTTGGCCACCCGTCGATCCCTCGCCTTCGTGGCATGCTCGGTCAGGGACTTGTCACAGGTCTCCCACGCACCTTCCCGTCGCTCCCTCCCTCGCTTGCCCCTCCTTGCTCTCCGTGCGTCGCCGGTCGCTTACGCGCCACTCCCCACTCCTCCTCCCTTCGTCCGGCCACCGCTCCCTTCGAGACTCTCCACTTGGACGTCTGGGGCCCTGCCCCGACGCAGGGGTGTGGGAGGGAGCGTTACTTTCTGGTGGTCGTCGACGACTTCTCCAGGTACACCACCGTGTTCCCTCTTGCGAAGAAGTCCGAGGTGACTGCTACGCTGATCAGGTGGCTTCTAGCCACTGAGGGCACTCGTGGTCGTCGAGTCAGTTGTCTCCAATCCGACCGTGGGGGCGAGTTTCGCTCCGGCATGCTCGGCGGATTCTGCGGCGAACAGGGCATCACCCAGTCCTGGACGCTGCCAGAGTCCCCACAGCAGAATGGGGTTGCTGAGCGCCGCATAGGCTTGGTCATGGACATCGCCCGCACGTCCATGATCCATGCCCGTGCGCCCCATTTTCTGTGGCCCCACGCGGTTCGCTACGCCGCACACCAGCTGAACCTCCAGCCGCGTGTCTCGCGGCCCGAGGCTTCACTGACCAGTCTTTGGACTGGTTCCCCTGGTGTCGGGTCGGCCTTTCGAGTCTGGGGCTGCCTTGCGCTTGTTCGCGACACCTCCGCGGACAAGCTCTCGGCACGCGCCGTCCCCTGTGTCTTCCTTGGTTTCCCAGTGGACTCTGCCGACTGGTCCTTTTACCACCCGCCCCTCCACCAGTTCCTAGACTCCCGTGACGTCCGGTTTGACGAGTCTGTGTCCTACTACACCCGGTACCCCTGTCGAGGTCTCCCGGTACCCCCTCCCCCCCTTTTCCTAGCACCCTCTCCTCCTCCTGCTCCTGCTCCTCCGGTACCCCCGCCCCCCCCTGGTCCTGCCCCGTCTGGTGTGTCCCACGCTACCCCTCTACCCTCGGTCATGCGTCAGGTAGTGTCTCCCTCCCCGCAGTCCTCCTCACAGTCCCCTCAGCAGCCTTCGGCACTTCCGCGACAGGTTACTGTGGACTCGGTTGGTGTTGGAGCTGGAGGTGCGGCCGCTGGCGGTGCTCGGTCTTGGGGTGCTCGGTCGCGGGGTGCTGGAGCTGGAGGTGCTGGCGCAGGTGGCGCTAGCTCTGGGGGCGCTGGAGCTGGAGGTGCTGGCACTGGAGGTGCTAGTTCTGGGGGTGCTGGAGTTGGAGGTGCTGGCACTGGCGGTGCTGGTTCTGGGGGTGCTGGAGTTGGAGGTGCTGGCACTGGCGGTGCTAGTTCTGGGGGTGCTGAGTCTGAGGAGACTGACGCTGGAGACCCTGGTTCTGCGGAGTCCACTCCGCCTCCCCACCGCCACGACACGCGTCTCCAGGCTGCCCGTCGGCGTGAGCGTGAGGAGTAGGAGCGGTTGGAGAGGGAGCGGCAGGAGCTGCGGGTGCTGGACCTTCTGGAGCAGCAGCGGCAGCGGCAGCAGCAGCAGCAGCAGCAGCCGCAGCCGCAGCCGCAGCTTCCTCTGGAGCGGCAGTTGTTCCCACCTGTGAGTGGCCTGCGGGCCCTTGGCCTTTCCTCCTCTCCTCCTGTCCGCTCCCAGTCTCCTCCTGTGTTTGTCCCTCCGTTGCCTCCTCCTGACGACCGTCCGGTGGTCTGGTCTTCTCCTCCTCCTCGGTCTCCTCCTCCTTCTGTCCGTCACGACTTGATCACTCGTTGTCCTCCGCGTGCTCGTCACTCGTCCCCTGTTACTGACCTCCACACTGCCCTCCTTTGTTCGTCTCGTCGCCGTTCTCCTTCTCCTGTGTCCGTTCTCCCGTCTCCTCCTCCGTCCTCTCTCCCAGCCCTCCCCACTCCTATCTCTGACTACTACCGCGCTGTTCGTCCTGTTGCCGCACGTGTCCTCGCCACTCTTGTCACCGACTCTCGTTTCCCTCCGTCGTCTGTCTCGGCTCTTACTGCCACTGTCGCTGAGTTTGCTGCCGCCAGCCGCCTTGACTACGCCACCCGTGTGGTGCCAGCTCCTCCCTACCGTCCTCTGTCCGTCGGGGGTGGGTTTGCCCTTGGCTGTGACGTCCTAGAGGACAGAGAGTCTGAGCTGGAGTACTGGGCAGCCGCTTCTCCCTCTGTGTGTGCCATGCTGCTCTCCCCTGAGGGAGACCCCGACGCCCTTGACATACCGACTCCTCGCACTTACCGCGAGGCAGTGTCAGGGGCGTGGGCCTCTCAGTGGAAAGCGGCTATGGACTCAGAGTTGGCGTCTTGGAGATCCACAGGCACCTACGTCGACGCAGTTCCCCCTCCCAGGGCGAACGTAGTCGATGGCATGTGGCTCTTCAAGGTGAAGCGGCCGCCTGGAGCACCGCCGGTGTTCAAGGTGCGCTACGTGGCTAGGGGCTTCAGTCAGCGTGAGGGAGTTGACTTCTTCCAGACCTTCGCCCCGACCCCGAAGATGACTACTCTTCGGGTGTTACTCCACATAGCAGCGCAGCGAGACCACGAGCTGCACTCCCTCGACTTCTCCACTGCGTTCCTCCAGGGCCGACTGCACGAGGAGATCTGGCTGCGCCGTCCTCCTGGCTTCACTGACACCTTCCCACCTGGGACCCAGTGGAGCCTGAGGCGACCAGTCTACGGTCTCCGCCAGTCGCCCCGTGAGTGGCACGACACTCTTCGCTCCACGCTTCGTGACCTTGGGTTCAGCCCGTCCTCCGCCGACCCGTCGCTGTTTGTTCGAGCGGGTTCTACTCCTTTCTTTATCCTTGTCTACGTCGACGACTTGGTGTTTGCTACAGCAGACAGGGCAGCCCTGGCTCAGGTGAAGTCCGAACTGCAGAAGAGACACAGGTGTACTGACCTGGGTGAGCTGCAGCGCTACCTTGGCCTGCAGATCACCCGGGACAGAGCCGCTCGCACCATCACACTGACGCAGTCACACATGGTGCAGCAGGTCCTTCGGCGGTTCGACTTCCAGTTCTCCACCACACAGCCCACTCCTCTTGCTGTTGACCACAGACTCACGGGCCCCTTTCCTGACGAGCCCTTTGAGTCCAGTGGACCGTACGCAGAGCTGGTGGGCTGCCTCATGTACCTGATGACTTGTACTCGACCGGACCTCGCCTTTCCCCTCAGCATCCTTTCTCGCTTTGTAGCGACTGGGAGACACCGCCCTGTCCACTGGACAGCTGCTGTGAGGGTGGCGAAGTACCTAGCGACTACATCAGGCATGGGGCTTGTACTTGGAGGGACTCAGCCAGTGGCGTTGACTGGTCACTGTGACTCTTCCTACGCTGACGACGTGGAGACTCAGCGCTCGACTCAGGGTTACTGCTTCAGTCTTGGAGCTGGTGCTGTGTCGTGGAGGTCTACACGGTCGTCGTCTGTGGCTACTTCCAGTGCAGAGGCAGAGATCTACGCGGGTGCCATGGCGGCACAGGAGCTTTGTTGGTTGACCTTCTTGCTCGCCGACCTTGGTGAGCGGCCTCGCTCTGCACCGACCTTGTACGCTGACAACAAGGCCATGATCCTCCTGTGTCGAGAGCCTCGACTGGAGAGCAGAGTGAAGCATATTGACGTGAGGTACTTCCTCCTGCGAGAGCTGCAGCGACGCGGCCAGGCACGCCTGGACTTTGTGGCCTCAGAGGCCAACACTGCAGACGTCTTCACCAAGGCCTTGACGCTTGGTGATCACCACAGGTTCTGTGTGCAGTTGGGGCTTGTTGAGGTAGGCCCTCGGTTGCTGTAGTCTTGTTGTTTGCTCTGCTTGTTGTGCTTCCTATTTATATCCTAGTGAACTCTTGAACTGGCCTTGTGGCCGCTTGCTTGCGCTCGGAATTTGTGTGGTGTCCTTGAGATCCACCCTGAGCTTGCCTTGTTTCTTGCTTTGACTGGTCTTGTGACCGTTTGTTCACCTTGCTTGCTTTGATGCCCCTCACTTAGCCTATGGGGGTGTGTCAAATGTAATTCTATGCTTGTAGGCTACAGTGAGTAGCACAATAGGGAGTACAGTTGTTAGGGTTGCATATTTGTACTTCCACACTTTCTAGTTTCATCATTCCGTTGCATTCCTATTCTGAGAAGCCTTGCCTTAACGGGTACAGCCCGAGCACTTCGCGTCAGGTGGCTCGGCCTACACTTCCGCACCGAACCAATGCCGAGTCGCCCCGCACCAATCGCGACACTTCCAAACCATCCACGTCCCGAGGTCCTCGCCTAGCACGGTTTCGACCCTATAAATGCCTGTTCCTTTATCATTATCGGCATTCTGTACTCGACATCCTTTTTATAAAGTCTTCCGCGCACTCTGTCTCTACAACTCATAACACTTGGTATCAGAGCTACTTTCCAAGGACACCCGTTTTTTAGAGTGTATTACCCCTCGGGGGGGGGGGGGGGGGACAGGGAAGGATGCCGTGGTGACAGGAGCAGCGCAAGAGCCGGCCAGGAGAACGGGTAGTTGCTCCTAGCGGCCATGAATTTCAAGGCGCTCCTGCGGCACCGACGGATCCTTACCCTCGACGGTCGAGATGGACCGTGGCCTCCCTCCCCCCCGGGTGGCGGACAGCTTTTGCTGTCGTCGCATTTAATGCGTGAGTTAACTGTGCTGGTTTTCGTCAATTTCGGAGTTATTTCTGTGTAACGGCTGACGTCGGCAGACTCGTCGTCGGCGCACGTCCGAAATTGTCGGAAGCAACGTGGTGCGAGTTGACATTCTTCACGCGGTCGTCAACTGCGCACGAAAACATCGGAGTGGACTGCATGCAGCAAGTGGCGTTGAAGTGTCTTCGTCACGTTGCGCATGAGCCCGCTGGAGGTCTTCGGCAAGTGGCGTGGCGTCACTGTGCGCGAAGACTTCGGGTAGCAGCACGTGGAAAACGACTGTTGTGCGAGCAGCCAGGCGCAATGTGTGATTTGCGTCAGAAAAACCGACGGCGAGGAGAGGCGGCGTGGCGACTGCCCGAAGAAAGCGGGGGTCTACCGTCGTCCCGCCCGGGTGCGGCAGGTGTTGCTGCAGGAGGGTGCGTCGTGGGCGTTTTTCGGCAGGAGCGGCACAGTGTGGGACGAAAGTTATTTTCAACCCGCCGAAAAGATCGGAACAGGCCGCCTACGACTAGACTGTTCGCGTTAGGGTCACTTCTGCGCCTGCAACAAAGTCGGCCGAATTCTTCGGAGCAACAGCAGCAGCCGACACTGTACTTCAGGCGACACAGGCTCCCCCTGATCAAGGGAAGTTGCGCCGCAGACAGGGCAGTACACCGACGGGACAACGGTTTGGCGCAGCGTCTAGACCCGCGAATTTCGCCGGGTCTACCGGCTACAATAAACGGAGTTGCGACAAATACGGGTCTTGCGAGAGAAACGGATTCCGAGCTTCAGGAGGGGAGAAAACGACCTTCTGCGACGACTTTTTGCTGAGGCCGAGTTTCACGGCTACGCGGCGGTAGCAGAAGGAGCTCCCTACCGGCCAAAGTCTACCAACGTTTCACGTACCTCACACCAGAAAGGTCTCTAAGGCAATTCGTAAGTCCTGATGGCCACTGGATAAAAAGGTGGGGCCCTGTATTTTAGCCCTGTGCTGGTTAGAAAGGCGTGGGTGGCGCTGGTTCGACAGCAGGGCGTACAAGAATTTTTCGTGGTGCGACACTGTTTTGGCCCCGACAAAAACGGACCATCGGCAACAGTACTCCGCCGAAAAAGTCGGGGTTGAAGAAGTTGTGGCAGCTGGCGGTGTTTCTCCGGATTCAACGGTCTACCCGACGAAGGTGTAGCAGCGAAGACGGAGTTCCCAAAGCTGCGGAGTTTTTAAATGCGATAGGCACGGTGAGCAGCGAAGCGGCCGGCTGAGAGTTTGATATGATAAACTCACTCCGACTACGATAGCGTTCGCGCTTTCATCGAACGCCAGAAAAATCGCGGGTCAACACAGAGAATACCTCATCTGACAAAAGCGGACGCAGGGTGAACGGCGGCAAGCGAAATTGTCGGGTGGTGAAAATTAAAAAAAAGGAGGGAAAGTTGTGGGTGTCGCTTCAAGCTACTTGAGTGATAGGCTGAGCCCGTACACCACTCCACCGCGAATTTCGGAGTCTATTCGGTAGACACCCGAAAGGGTTTGATATTGTTACATGGAGGCGCGGCGAGGGGTGTATTGCCAAGGATGCCTGGGATTTGCTAAGTAATTTCGACGGGTACGAAGATGGGTGAACGTCGGAGTACCAGGGTTAATGGCGGAAACGTCGGGGCTACACGGCAGAGAATACTTCGGGGCTTGATTCCGCAACCATGATTTTCGGGTGCAATTTCGACGGTGGGCGACGGGTGAACGTCTGCTCGCCAGCTGTTTGAGAGTTTTACGGTATACTTCGAGGCCATCTGGGGAAATCCTACAGCGAGATCTGCGGCGTTGATGCGGCT